GAGAGAGAGAGAGAGAGAGAGAGAGAGAGAGAGAGAGAGAGAGAGAGAGAGAGAGAGAGATCAACCCCAATCATCATAAGCAGTACTAGTGTCAACAATGGATAAGCTTCTTAAAGCTGTCACAAAAGAACTCTATACTTTTGTCTCTTCAAGCAGGTCTTGAGAGTTCTTTCCAACTTTCATTTCAACCCAACAGATGCCCATAGTGGTATTCCTTCAATTCTGAGAAAAGGTTAAAGTGACATGGCCCCAAATCTGGACTGTGGTGAATGGAATAAGCTGGTAGAAATCATCCACAATTCACACCTACATAATAGATGGTTCATGAAGTGTAAGGTCTAGTATTATCATGTAGGAATATTTCCTTTGTTGTGCTTTCAAATTCTGCTTACCGGTAATTGTGTTAAAAGATTTGAGTGCTGCAGTATAACACTGGGTTGATAGGATGCCAAATTCAAATAAATCATGAAGAATACCACCTGCATACCAAAATATGTAATGATATTTTCCTGCTGAAACCTGAGTTTTTATTTGGGGAGGGGGTCGACAAGACAGTAAAGCTTTGTGAGGATATTCCATGGACTGATGCTCTGTTTCTAAGATATAATGATAAGCCCATGGCTGTCACAATGCTCTGAAGAATTTCCTCACCTTCATTCTCATAACATAGCAAGTTGAACTTGCTAATGAATTTCAACTCTTAGGAAGAGGAAGGGGTATTTTGTATGTTTGCTGTCTTAATTAGAAAAAGATATAACATTTGGCGTAGAACTACTCTGGTCAACAAAATCACCATCATAAACTGCATTACATTTCAATTGGAGGGACTCCTCCAGCGATTCAATCATTGTACATTATTACTTAAAACACACCAATTAGTACTCACTGTAGGCTTCCATTTAATGAACAATAGCAATACCACCTTTTTTTTACAGTGAAGTCTCAACTGCAGTGAAAGAAGAGGTGCTAAAGAACAGGTCAGAGCTACTTGCTGTTTGGTACTTCCATCTATGGATGACTTTTAACCTTGGACACAATACTTTTTGTTGAATCCTACCCACAGCACACAATTAATGTTAAAAGAAGAAAAAAAACCATATCTGTTCCGATCCAGCACCAAAGAATGCAGAATGTAAGAAGTCACTTGAAGCAGAGAAGTTTTATTTCACACAGGCAGATCAGCTTCAAAGATGACCACTAGTCAATTTTCCAAGATAGGTTTTTTTTTTATAGAAAAGTCTTGAAAGCATGCAAACAGACTCAGCCCCTAAGAATTCTTGAAGAATGCAGTTAGCCGGATGGACATAAGGGGGTGTTCAGTGGTTATGCACCTTGCTTGTGTTCTTTGCATTACAAATCAGGATGA